AATCTTATTAGCCTCTTTCCCTCCAGGAGGGCGTGTTTCTGTTCAGAGGAAATTTATGTGTGTGTGTGTGTGTGTGTGTGTGGTACCAGTTCTCTGCATAGAAACTAAATGTACAGAGGCAGCTTCATGGTAAATTTAGTTTAAAAGATTTACCAAGTATGGCGCATAAAGGGAACTCTAATTTGCAACAACAATTTTTGCTCTATTAATGTCCTTGTGCAAACGTATTGTGAGAGCTCATTTCTGTTGGGATCTCTTACCCCATCAGAGCTGCTTTCCCTCAGTGGACTTCCAGACATTAGCCCCAAGGCCAGGCCAGATTTAGGGTTATAAATCCAGATACCTGCTAGAGGTACTCCATTAAGACAGGCACCAACACGACCCTTGAATTCTTTTCTCTTGATTACTCCAAGTTCTGTCTGCATGCAAGTGGGTTAGAATTAGAAGTTACTCGATATCTATTGTGGAAGACTGTTTTAGTGATGCATAGACTGTTACATGTGTCCTGACTGTGGTCTTCCTGGAGATGGTAAGTGAATGGGGTGGGTGTGACAGCTGTCCTCCATCAAAGGGAAGATTGAAATGGAAAAGTGGGAAAATACTCGTGCTGGAAATTCTTCAAGTAAGCCGCCCACATGCTCAACTTTTAGCTCCAATGAAATCCTGCAAATTTGCAGAGAATTTGGAATTCTGTTGAAAACAGAGAGATGGGTAAAAGTGTAAGCATGCACTGTGTAGGATTGAGAAACTGTAAGGAGAAACTAAAAATCCAGATACTTGGAAAAGTTCTGGGAGCGTGTTTATTACATTGGCAGCATGGGAGGCATTAGTGAGTGTGTTTCTGATAAGCACAGCAGATGAGGTGGTCTCCATGTGGCAGGCAGCGGAGCTTTACCAAGGGTGGTTTCTAGAGAAACAGCAGCTGAGAATGTGTAGAAAGTCCTCTTCCACTCAACGTAAAAACCTGGAGTGGAGCTGGGCATGGTAGTGCACGCCTTAATCCCAGAACTCTTTGGGAGGCAGAGGCAGGTAGATCTCTGTGAGTTCAAGGCCAGCCTGGTCTACATAGAGAGTTCCAGGACAGCTGGGGCTACAGGGAGACTCTATCTCAAAAGGACCCCCCACAAAAAAAAACCTGGCATGGAACTGAGCAAGAACCCATGTTTTATCAAGACTTCCAGTGGCTGTGAATGCATGGAAACAGCATGAAGGCTGAGGGCATGGGATCCCTGGGCTCCTGTCATGATGCAGGCTCCAGATGGATGAGTCTGGTTGGGATAGACTTGGCATTTCTGATAGACTCAGGAGTGGTGAGGTAGCTCCTGGTCTGAGGATGATAGTTGGGGCAGAGGAGTGCTGTCGGTCCACCATGTGACCCCACAGTCTTCCCAGTCTGAGTCAGATAGCCTGGGACTAATGACTCATTATGAACTTCTGCTTCTCTGCAGTTTGGAAAAGAATGACACATATATCTGCCTTAGGATGATGCTTTCAGCCTTAATGGAAATGGTGTGTAAATTGCTCATGCTATGAAATCAGGGAGTATTAGCTTTCAGTGTTAGCCTTTGAAGGGTCACTTTTCCCCTCCTCCTCTGTCTTACGCACTGTGATGGTTTGAATGATAAATGTCTCCCATAGGCACAGATATTTAAACACTTGGTACCTGGTTGGGGAGGTTATGGGTCATTTTGGAATGGAGTCTTGCTGGAGGGAGTATGTCACCAGGGGCAGGTTTTGAGAGTTTATAGTCTTATTTCACTTCCATTCACTCTGTGCCTCCTGCTGCTGCTGAACATAGGGCTCTCAGCTGCTGCTTCTGCTGCCTGCAGCCGTGAATCCCCTGCAATTATGGATCCTCCCTCTGGAACCATAAGCCAAATTAACACCTTGTCTATAAGCGGTCTTTGGTCATGGTACGCATAGAAGTAAATGACATAGCCACTTTCTTTCCAAAGCAGCTCATGAGGAAAAGCAGGTCTTGGCAGGGAGCACAAGCAACTTTGAGCTTGGTGGAACGCACCGGAATCTTCAGAGTTCTAAGCATAGCTTAGGTATTAAGGTAGAGATGATGGTGTACAGCCTATCTTCATTTCTGAAGGAAATCTACCTCACTGCAGCGTGGAATACCACGTGGCAATTGCTAAGTCATCTGTATGGTGCTGTGCTGGTCTGCATGGGAGAGGGTGGCAGGAAGCAGTGCTTTTCAGTGTCGTTTGCCAGATTTCATGAAAGGATTGGTGGGAATTTATATGAAGTAGAAGATGTGGTTTCACTTAATTAGTGGAAGCCCTCCTCCCACCTAAAATAGCGGATTTTCATAGTGTTAACAGAATATAAAGTATTGTCCTGACAACTCCACATGAGACAGAATATATCAACATTTACCAAGAAAGTGTTCTCACAGCACTGACAGAGTTTGCAGTGAACCGTGGAACTCCCACCAGCTAGATAGTGGCATGCCTTGTTGCATAGCTGTATAGTGATCTGCTTATCCTTCTGTCCATTTGTTTATCATTTATCGGGCTGATTTTAGGTGACTTCAAAGTGAATTGACCTGTCACCCCCTCCCCATGCCCCCAGCATTTCAGTGTCTAGGGTTATCTCCTAGAAGACTGAAAGGGGACCCCTGTTCCCTAGGTCCTCACTTTGACTTCCCAGAAATATTTACATAGGGCCTGGGTGAGGAGCAGGTCAGCTTTTATTACGCTGCTGAAGACTCCTTGGTAGCCTGGGGCATCCGCCATGCATTTATAATTATCTTCAGCTTGGACCATTGCCACACCCCTATCATCTGAGTCCTGTGCCACAAATTTCCCCTGCGTATTGGTCTCACAGCTGCCCGGCCTTCCCCGGGTTGCTGCATGTAGCCCTGGCACATGACTGTGTGAAGAGCCATCTCATGCTGGTCGGTGTAGCTCCGAACTGAAGGTTAGAGTGCCCGGTGTTTCTCCAACATCTGCCTCTTCCTAGTTACTCTGTTTACAGAATGCCCGTGGGTGTCTCCTCACAGCACACATGCAAAGAAAAATGAAGTAGATATTTTGTGATCCACGCATTCTGAAAAAGCTCATGAAATGTGATAACTTGGTTTTTCCATATTTTGATATGGTAGAAATTTCATGGACTGGTTAGTAGGTTTTGGGGAAGCAACTCACTCTGTAGACTGGGTTCCCAGTTCCCCTCCTGAACTGTGCCTATGCCTGTACTAAGCCGAGTGACGATCCCAAAGAAAGCTGAACCCTACACCAGAGCTTGTGACAGCAGAGAGTACTGTCACAACTGGAAGTCAGTTGCCCATCAGTTGACTACAGAGACTATTCTAGAGTTACTACATGGGCTCTGTGTGCTCACAGGGCCCAGAAGAGGGAGACAGGCAATGGGCTGCAGCCAGGCTGGGGCCAGCTCATAGAAGAGGAATACATGGACATGGCAGGCCGACCCTCCACTGAGACCGACTCTGAACGTGTGACCCACACACCTGTATGTGCTTCCCTCTTGGCCTTTTAATCCAGTTTGCAGTCATTTTTCATGGCAGCAATAGGAAACTCCATTCCATGTGCTGTGCAGGGCCCTACATGGGAGGCATGTGATATAGACAACTCCATTCCATGTGCTGCGCAGGACCTACATGGGAGGCTGTGATACAGACAACTCCATTCCATGTGCTGTGCAGGGACCTACACGGGAAGCATGTGACACAGACAACTCCATTCCATGTGCTGTGCAGGCCCTACATGGGAGGCATGTGATACAGACAACTCCATTCCATGTGCTGTGCAGGCCCTACATGGGATTTTTTTAGCATGTGAAACAGACAACTCCATTCCATGTGCTGTGCAGGCCCTACATGGGAGGCATGTGATACAGACAACTCCATTCCATGTGCTGTGCAGGCCCTACATGGGAAGCATGTGACACAGACAACTCCATTCCATGTGCTGTGCAGGCCCTACATGGGAGGCTGTGATACAGACTAGTTGTATTGTGGGAGCGTCGCATTGAGGCACAGGACTGTGGTTTCTTGTTCCACCGAGTGATCCACTTAGAGAAGATACCCCAAGAGGGCTGGAGTCTGCCTCCCTGGGTTTACAGCCATGTGTGTGCTATTTCTGCATACATGCATGCTGTCCTTCCTCTTTCCTGGTCAGCTGGATCTAGCTCATCATACTCTTTCCAAATATCCTGCTGTGGTCTGTGCAGAGGGCTGGGATCTCGTGACCACTGTTCACACAGCCCCTTCTACCTGTGTTTCTGAACACTTTTGATTTCTTGTCATCGCAATGGATTGATCTGGTCCTGTCTTTGTGTCTGGCCTCAGAGGATACCAAGGCTGCTTGAATTCACCAGTTGTAGTGGAGTCATCTGGAGTGACGGTGCTGTCGTCTTTGTGGATCCCTGTCTGTTTACAGTGAGAAGCTGCTCTTCCCTCTGGTTCTCTACCAGACAGAACAGGTTTAGGCTTTGGTTTGGGGGTAGGTGATTGTCAGTGACGTCACTCTGCTTCAGCCGTCAGGCGCATCCTCAGCAGTGACAGTACAGGATCTGTGGAGGAGGAGAGTTGCCTGAGACACTAGCTCATCCAAGTTGTCCTGCTCCAGGGAGGGCCTCCCGATGCCTTCACGCCTCTTCCTGCTCCGAGACGTGTCCCTCGCGTTTCCCCTATCGTGAGCATTCATTTTTGTAAGATGTCCTTCAGCAGTAAGTTTTTTCTTCCTCATTTTACCAGATGACTGTCTTTATGGCATAAATTATTTTATTTATTTTGGTACAGAATCTGGAACATAGGAGGAATCTACTTAAGGGTGCTGTGAACAAGTATATCAGTCAACTTTACAACAGGCCATCCTAACTCAGTGCTTGAACTGGTGAGCCCTCCTCCTACAGATGTCCAGTATGGCCTGGCTGGCCCAGAGTTGCACTGTTGTACTCTCCAGGCGGGTGGTGTGTGTGGGTGTGTGTGTGTGGGTGTGTGTGTGTGTGTGTGTGTGTGTGTGTGTGTGTGTGTGTGAAACACTTTGTGGAGGTGCTTTGGGTTCCAGGTGCTGTGGCATGGTGCTGTCTCTATAGCAAAAGCTGCCTGCCCTGTGCCTGTGCCTTTCCCTTCCTGTTTCAGGGTGAGAATGTGCAGCAGTGTTTGGACTTCAGAAGAGATTTCCCAGCACCACACAGCTAGGCTGCCCCTTGTACACTCATGCCTTTTCCCTGAGAGCCAACCACTTCTGCTGACCAGACAGCATCTAGGTGGTGCCGTCCAAATTTCAGACCACCAAGAAGTTTTTCAGATATGTGGAGGGTCAGTGTGGATGGAGGCGAAATGAGGAAGGTGCATTGCTACTTCTGACAAACGACGCCCATGACTGCAGAGTTCACCACAGAAGAGGAGGAAAAAGTACCCAAGAGCAGCAGCTACTGTGGGAGCGTGATCTCCTCTGCAGAGGTGGCTCAGTGTCGGCCACCACGCTGCTGAGCACGTGAGGCACTCCTGCTTCCCAGAAGTGTGTGACTCACACAGGCCACACCAGTGAGATAAATCAGGGTTACAGGAAGTGCAATCGCGTCCTTTCCCAAGTTTTTGACAGTCTTTGTCTCTAATCTCTGTAATTCCCCCACAGATGCAATATTGCTTCTGGCTTCAGATCTTATGCCAAGTGCAACTCCTCTCTCTCTGATAACAGCCCACATTTCATAGAGCGGGAGCCAGCATGGGGCCACCAGGTGCTGACACTGTCCGTTACCAGGAAGCACTTAGACCTGGGGGAAACCGAGCCATCCATTTCCATAACCCTTTCACCTTGAAAGTTGGAAAACTGGTGCCCATCAGACACTCTCTTCCCTAGATTCACAGCCACCAGTCCACTTTGCGTCTGAGTCTGGCTGCTCACAGTACCTCATATGGACTGCTTTGTGCCTTGTGCCCTCAACATGTGTCCATGAAGCAGAATTTTCAAACAATGTGCAGTGGACAGACAATCCATAGTGCATATACCTTGATCCGTTGATGGGCACCCGAGTGGCATTCATGTTTTAACAGGTGCTGTGAGCATGGATGTGAAAATATCTCTTTAGGACCCTACTTTCTGTTCCTTGGCAAACACACGCAGGGGCAGGATTGCTGGATACATGGTAATTGTATTTTTAAGTGCGTAAGGCCCCTGCTGGAGGAGGCTGTGGAGGACTCTGGTTGTGCAGTGCGGTGTGTAGACGTGCAGCTGCTAAAGGTATGTATTGCAGAATTTAATTTCTGTACAATCAGTGGCGATGTTCATCTCATTTATGATTTGAGTCATTTGAGTCTTCTCATTATTAGTCCATCTGAATAAAAATTAGTCAGTTTGTTACCTTTTCCAAGCTCTACCTTTTGGTTTTAGTTTCCTGTTGTGTTTTCGTGCTCCGTTGTGTCCATCTTTGTTCTGTTTGTTCTTATTCCCTCATGGCTGCTGGCCCTGAGTCCAGTCCGCCCTTGTCCCTGCTGCTGGAAAGCTTGGGTCTGCTCTGCTCTTTCTTGCTTATTAATGTCAGCGGTGCAACTAGACTCTCCCTTGGCGCTGTTCTTGCTGTGCTCTGTCATTTTTCCCTGGGGCTGCTCTGTGTTCACTCATTTCTAAGTCTTTGGCAAGTTTCCCTATGGTTTGTTCTCTGAGCCTTTGCTTGTATAAAATGTATTAATTTTTATAAAATTTAAAATTCCAGTTTTACATTTGTTATTGGTTTATAACTTCATCCTATTGTGTTTAGAAAAGGTGCTGGGCCTAGAGACAGTATTTGAGATGAGCAGAGGGAGCAGAAGATACGGTAGAGGAGACAAGTAGGTAGGGGCAGTTGACACGGTCCCATGTGTTAGATGCCTGTGTGAACGTCATGTAAGGAAACCCAATTTATACAATTAATATATGATAATAAAAACAAGCAAAAAGCAAAGGCACTGTGCAATATCTGTTTAGCTCTTTTGAGGCATTTTGTGTCTAAACGTGGTCTGTCAGGCTAGCAGGTACTCATACAACTGTTAGAAAGGCACCGGCCTCCAGGTTTTCTGCCACATTCTGGGCTTGCTTGGGTCTGGGTTGAAGGTTCTAGAAGCAGGAGTTGATCCTTCGCTGCAGGCAGCGAACAGCCTCCATGGGTAAACCTTCCTTCTCCAGGAGGAAGTGCCAGGGCAGTGTGGCTCCACTCCTGGTTGTTATGCATTCACAGAGTGAGACAGCGAAGGGCGATCTTGGTGACCTGTACACGTGGTATCAGATTTGCTCATTCTGCATGCCTGCGTTCATCCCTGCTCACTTGACGCTGCCCCCATTCACTGTCATGCGCTCATCTAACAACTGCTATGGCTGCTCATGAGCCAAGCTGGAGATTCTGGAAGTGGGAAGCTTGGCTAGGATACCCATGTAGTGACACCTCAGAGAGGTTATTTATTTAGGTTTCTTTTTTCAACAGATGCAGATAGTTTTATTAGCTATGAGGGGCAAGCAACCTTCCCTTGGGAATGAAGGTTACACATCGGGGTTGGGGGATGTCTGGGATTTTTAGGTGGGCCCAGCAAATCCCAGAAGGGGGGGTCGTGCCTTCTTGGGTGGTGGTGAGCTCCCTCCTGGGACCTGGGAAGGAGAGATGGGGAGTTCTGATAGGGGAAGTATCTTCTACAAGTGGTTGGTAAGGAACCAGATCTGCAAGGAGGCTGAGAAGGAACAGATGTCTAGGCCAGAGGCTGTGTGTTCTGATATAGATATATCTCCCTCCTGGAGTGTGGAGGCAGGGTGGGTGGATGGTCAGTTCCTTTAGTCATTTGTCAGGCTGATTTTCCTTCATTCCATACCTTGAAGACATAAAAAGAAAGGAACAGGAGCATCCTTTTCACTCTTAACTGGTTCAAGTTGGGGGGTGCTCATCGTAGGGAGGGGTAGTTCAGGGTCTATTGGAAGAGAGAGTCTGGTGGCATGGAGCAGGAACATAGCCTTAATTTGGTCTCAGTTAGCAGTGTGGGCAGTCATACAGGGCTGCTCAGTTAGGAGATTCTGTGAAAATCTTTGGAGACAACAGTTGATTAAGCATAGTAAAATGGCCTCATTACTCAGGAGTTAATAAGGGTTAGGGTCTTCCTGTAACCCCAGCTGGCCTGGAATTCACTATGTTGGCCAGGTGGGCCCCAGTCTTACATAGATCGGCCTGACTCTGCCTCCCGAGTGCTGGGATTAATGATACGCACCATCACACCCACCTATTGTTCTCTTTTTAAATTCTAAGAAAAATATTACCGTCATTTTGTTGCTACATGACAGCACCCATAAGACCTGTGCAAACCCAAGCCAGACAAGGGCTCGGCACGGATGGTGAAGGTGGGCAGGAAGCTCCAGCCCTAGCTGAGGACCTATTGGCATTTGATGGATTCTGGGAGAGGGAGAGTTTCCTTTCTGATCTGATGCCTGATAGGTTGGCCAGTCTCCAAGAGATAGTCTTGTACAAGGAGCACTTGGGAAACACAGATTAGACTCAAGAAGTCTTAAAAAAAAGACAATAATAGAGGATATGAAGCTGGGCAGGGGCCAGTTAGAAGGTGGGAATGGGGAAGGGGAAGGAGGACTGAATACGACCAAATGCATTGTTTGAAATTCTCACTGTTTTAAGAAAGGAAAACAATACAGAACTACACACTCATGTGCTAGTCCAAGTTCTCCACAAACATGTGTGTGATGTATGTTTGCATATGTGTGTGTATGTGTGGTGTGTGTGGTATATGTGTGTATATATGTATGTATGTATGTGTATATGTGTAGTATGATATATGTGTGTTTGTGTGTGATGTGAGTGTATATATGTGTGTGGTATGTATATGTGTATGTGCACATGATGTGTGTGTGTTCATGCATGTGTGTGTGTGTATGTGTAACTGTAAGATTGCAACACAGAATTGCATCATATGACCATGGGAACTGAAACTTCTTTGGACTGGAAACTGGAAGAGTGGAGACCTAGCAGAGGTGATGGTGAGGTTAGTCTGAGACAAGAAGGGTCACAGCTTTAGTTCATGTTTGAAGGTAGCATGTCTCAGTGTCTTAGCTCAAGCATCTGTCAGGGGGTCCCTCCGACTACAAGGTTCCTCTGACTCAGTAGTCTGCTCTTCTCAGGTCTCCAACTAACCACCAAGGCCTCTAACAGCAGGACGGTAGCTTTGTTCAGTTCACAGAATTATCGGCTTACCTCAGCCAGTGTACCCTCGGGACATGCCCTGAGTATTCTTTGACCAAATGCCTGGACACCTTGTTCACCAGCCAACTTACATAAAATTAACCACCATAATACCATTAATACCTTCCCTATATATGTAAACAGGACAAATAAATCTATATTGTATCTAAAAGCAAGTTGCAAGAGAGAACTCAGGAAAAGTGAGAACTCACACTTCCATTTAGCCCTTAGCTGTGGAAATTATACTTTTTGTTTGATAGAATTGTATCTCCCTGGCCTCATGACAGTTGCACCCACAGATCAAGTTATCTTTATCTATTGTATCTAGGAAAAGAAAACAGAGTATTTAGACAGAAGAGAGAGACTGGCATCTGTTGATGCTGCTGGGAAGGGTAAGGCTATCACCAGGGCACAGAGCAGCCTGCCGGTCCTCACTGGTTTCTTACCTTTTCCTGCATTAATTCTGCTCCCCTTTTCTCCTTTCTTCTCAGTTTAGTATCCTTCATTTGTATGTCCTAGACTATCAGCCTGAACATTTTACTTATTTTTCAGTGTACATATTTTGGCACAATGTGGTTCTGTTTTCATTCAGTTTTAACATTCTAAAATTTACGTTCCGTGAAGAAAGACCCTGTCTTTATGACTAGGACTCCCTAGCCCCAGTCCTCCTGGAACTCACTGTGTAGACCAGGGTGGCCTTGATCTCACAGAGATTCGCCTGCCTCTGCTTCCCAAGTGCTGGGATCTTTCTCAGTCTTTTAACTGTGGAATTTAAACCGAGTCTGTAACCCCAGCACTTAGGAGGTGGAAGCAGGAGGATCAGGATTTCCAGGTCATCATCAGCTACAAAGTGAGTTTGATACCTACTCTACATGAGACCTTGTCTCACAAAAACCAGTAAATAAAGAAATGAAATATTAACTTTGGATTGTAATAGTACTTTTCTATTGCTGTGATAAAACAACATGACCAAGGCTACCTAAAGTAGGAAGTGTTTATTTGTCTTACTGATCTGGAGCGATAAGACTCCATCATGGGGGAGCATGGCAGAGAGCTGAGGGCTCACATCTTCAGGCAGGCATGGGAAGCAGAGAGGCCAGCTGAGAGTGGGATGAGGCCACGTACTCCAAACCTGCCCCCAGTGACATGCTTCCTCCAGCAAGGCCACAGCTCTTAGGGTTCCATGACCTCCCCTAACAGTGCTACCAACTGGCCAAGTGTTCAAATTATCGGAGCCTAAGGGAAACGTTCTCGTTCAAATACATATTAATAGCTTTGGACTATATTTAGACTTATTTCTACTAGTGAAGTTTTCTGTTTTCCTTACTTTGATTTTTCTACTTTCTTACCTGCTTCTACAAGTGGATTGAGGTTTTTACATCTCCAAGCATTGATTAGGAGACAAAATCGTAGTTCTTTTTTAACTGTCATCTTTATATTTTATTACTTAACAATTAATTTTAAGTATATTAACTATGAATTTTAATGAAAAAGCCTAAGTTACTGTAATGTATATTTCTTCCTGGACAAGCCAAAGCTCTTTACAATCTGCATTGCTCACTGAATGTTATTGTTATAACAGAGGGTTGGTGGAGGTTGGGTTCTGCTGGAGGTTAGGTGTTACCGACACTGGGAGTTTGGACAATCGACAGTTCCTACCAGTGTCACTGTTTTTTTTTTCCTTCTGTCTCATTTTTTCCAGGGTTTTTCTCTTGCTCTAATGAAGCATTTCATTTTTTTAGTGAGATTTTTGAAGTTACATTTGATATTATATATCTGAAATGTGTCTTTTCCCTCTCATGTGAATGGAAGCTTATAAATTTCCTCAATATAAAGGAAATAAGACATTGTATGAATAATAATGTTGAGAGGTCCTTGATATAAATTTTCCCTCCATCCCTCCCTTCCTCCCTCCCTTCTCTGTCTCTGTCTCTGTCTCTGTCTCTCTCTGTCTGTCTCTCTTTGAGATATGGTCTCCCTGTAGCCCCAGCTGGCTTGTAACTTGTTATAGACCAGACTGTAGACCAGGCTGGCCTCAATCTCACAGAGAGCCTCCTGCCTCTGCCTCCCAAATGCTGGTATAAATTTCTTGATTGCTATAAAGTTAATATCAACACTTTGAAAATATTGTTCTATTCTGACATCTAATTTTATGATAGGTAATTTGCTGATTTTTTAAATAGAATTTTTGAGAATTTCATACAATGTGTTTTGATATTATACCCCACCCCTATTTGCACCCCTTTACTACCCCCTTTGGATTCCTATACTCTAACATATGTATGTATGTATGTATGTATGTATGTATGTGTATATATATAAAGGCCTACTGAGTCAAATTTGTGTCTTCACATGCCTTTCAGTGTGGGTCTATCCACTGTTACCTGGTTAACTTCCCCAACATGATACCATTAAAGAAAACTGACTGTCCCTCTCCTAGCACCCATCAGTTGCCAGTAAGTAGGTCCCCAGCTAGGGTTGGGGTTTCTTACCCACCTCCAAACTTCTATGCTGGGATTTTTTTCCTGGCTTAGGTTACATGAATCCTGTGTATGGTGTCACCATTACTGTGAGTTCATATGAATATCTGCTCAGTTTTCAGAAAAACTGTTTCCTTGTGGTCACTACCACCTCTGGTTCTTAAAATCTTTCTGACCCCTCTTCCCTGAGCCTTGTGAGGCAGAGATTTGATATAGTTATCTTAATCAGGGCTAAGCATTGTCTTATGCTCTGCACCTTACCAGTTGTGGGTCTCTAGGTTACTTACCATCTGTTGCATGAGAAGCTTCTCTGATGGGAGTTGAGAGATGTATTAATATGGGGGGTCGCTGGACCCCCGGCGTGGTGTGCACGGGGCCCCTGGGGTCTCTGCCACACCTGGCTAGTCCCGGCGTGAGCCTGGCCGCAAGTGATGTGGGGAGCGCGCCTGGGCTCCCGGCGCACTCACTCTGGATGTGGCGCGGCTGCTTCAGGTCCCGCGTCTCTGGGAATAGCGGCAGCTGATGGCTACCGCAGTTTCTGGTGCTAAGAGCTTCTCTGCTACTGGAGTATTATCCAGTCGGAATCCCGCCTCTATTACACCCTTGTACCTTTCCTCAGGATTGCGGAGTTCCTGGCCAGTGAACTCCACAGGGAAGAGGCACGGAGGCGGCGAA